AATATGAAAAGGAACATATATATCATCCAGTTATATATCTATATATAACTGAATCACTATGCTATACACCAGAAATTAACACCACACTGTAAACCAACTATACTTCAAAAAAAAAATCTGGCTGTTCAGGGTGAAACGCACACATACACAGCTCTATACGTATGTGTGTGTGTGGGCACACACTTGCATTCAAATGTCAGATTATTTCATAACATAAGCATTGTGTAGACACAATTTACTGCTAATAAAAAATATGCAAACTTTTACTATAAATTCCATAAACTGATTAATTCTCATAAAATGCTTTTGTTGATTCTTTACTGAATTATTTCATCCGTAATCACACACAGACTCTATCATATAGTCTTTTTTTTTTGCTTTATTTTTTTTAAACAACCCTGTATAGATATAAAAATTATTCTTAACACACAGGTTGGAGGAAACTTCAGGCTTCAAGCCAGACTTGGCCTACAGGCTGCAGTTTGCCCATCCCTGGTCTAGACAGTCCACAAAGCAATCAATCAAAGCCTGATTGATAGCACTTGCCAATATCCATGGTGTAAATATCCCCACCGTGATGGATGTCACACTATTGAGCAGATGTCACTAAATCTGGAATTGGGAAGACCTGCACTGTAGCAGCCCCGTAGAATCTATTTCCCCGCATGCAGATACAGCAGAAGTAAAAGTCATCAGAGACACATAGATAGATAAACAGAGAGATACGGGGATAGGCAGGTAGAGATAATATGAATTGATTACCTTTGAAAAATACTTTGATGAATTATAAGCTTACATAACTTAATTTTTCATAATGACCCTATTTACCAGCCAGCTTACACAATTCCTGAAAACCTACCAGTTGGCCTTCTTGAGTCAGTACCAGCTGGCTCCAACGCACCACTGCCAGCCTATTGTTTCAAACCCCATAGACACTGGACCGTGACCCTTCACGCCGTGTGTGGGTCCTGCGCAGTGTGCTCTTGGGCCTGGCCTTCCTTTTCCCCCTTCCTCATCAGGCTAACCCTGCTCTCCTCTCAAGATACAGCAGCACCTCCTGCTGGAAGCCTTCCACCAACTTTCAACGTTGAGCCAGTGCCCTCTGCCCCGATTCCCTCCCCCCTACCCCCACCACGCCCTGCACAACTCTGCCTGGTGGCTCTCACCTCCTTGTTCTGCACAGGTGTTTCAGGCCTGACTCTGCTTTTAGAATGTGAGTCTCTCCAACTCAGAGGCTCTGCCTTGGTCATCTCTCTCTCTCTCTCTATTTTATTTTTTGTGCCTACAACAGAGCCTGGCATATAATCGAAGTACAACATATACATCTTCAACTAAACTACTAGTAAAGATGGATAACTTGTGGCTGCCAGTTTGCAAAATGCCATGCAGCCTTCTTTGTGTTACAGACAAGTGCACCTCCTTGTGCTTCTTTCAGGTGAGAGCACGAAAGAACTAACCATCTATGTGTATTGGTCAAAAGTTTGCTTGGGAATGAAGATTAAAATCAAGAGCTTATCTTGTACATTTTCTGTTTCTTTGGATTACGTTTATCATTTCTTTTTTAGTTTATTGTGGCATAATTGCTCTTCTAACTTTCTATTAGTACAATTTCTCTATTTCCTATTACCCCAGCTAGCTGACATTGACTTTCAAAAGAAGAATGCCTGAATGTAAGCCAGAGACTAGACAGACGGTGAAGACTACAAGCAAAAAACAAAAAGTTTTAAAAAGTACAACGGAGACTTGCTATTTTAAAACACCTTGTTAGTTATCACCGTACTGGGCAAGGCGTTTTCCCCAGGCTCACGGCTCAGACTCTCCATGGACTCCTCCCCTGTGGGTCCCTGGGCTTAGATGGAGATAAAGATAAACCTTGATAAGATTTGCCAGGGCCCCTCATCTTCTCAGTCGCTCTTTGGTTTGCTGACTCTCTTACTGATTTTGAGCAAGGGGTCTGGGGATCTTCGGGGGGAGTCAACTCACCTCATAGTCGATGTCTAAGGCATCCGCCTCGCCCTTGGTCCGGAAGTGCTGGGTATGCTTGTCCACGGTGAAGTTCACCTGCTTGCCCACCCGCTCGAGGAGGACGGAGTGCCAGTGCTGGTCGTCCAGGAGGCTGCCCAGGGTGGCCGCGGGTGGGCTGCTGCTCAGCCGGGGTTTGCTGTCATCTGTGAAGGGGACAGGGAGATGGGATGGCGTCCGTGCCCCAGGCAGCCTCTAGTGCTAGAGCGTTCTGCAGACAAGACCACCTCTCTCCAGCCAAAGCTAACGGATGACTCTTAGTCTACACGCCCGGAACGGCGCTGGGGTTGGGGAGGAAAACCAGCCTTTTCCCACAGATCCCAGGGCCAAATCCTAGGTCAACTGATATACACACAGCCCTGTAGACATGAAACGCCATGTTTTCAGGGCCTGCACAGTTAAATAATAAAAGAAACTATATCCTGATATTGAAAATAGGGGTGATCACATTTAGAAATAACGTCCATTCTTTGCATTTGAGTGACTTGAATGGAGAAAGGGAATCTTGAGTTGTGCTTTGAAGGAAGACTGACCTCTGGATGAGTACAGGGAAGACAGAGGGCACACTGAGTTAGGGAAACCCCTGGGCCAAGGCCACGATGAGGAAATAACCATTTTAGCCTCCATTTTCACATGCCTACTCTATGGACGGCACTGAAGTAGGGATTTTATAACCTCCATCTTTAATGCTCTAAGGCAAAATTATTACGTATGTTTGACAAATAAGGAAACTGAGGCCCAGTGAGGTTAAGCCTGGGCAGAGGTACAGCCAGGGTTCAAATTCAAGTCCACTGGACCCGTTGACTCTGACCTTGGCACAGCTCAAATGTGCTAATTCAGCCTAAGCTGAGCATGGAAGTCTCCCTGCCTTGGGAGGAGGGTGTAAGAGATTCAGAGAGAGACACATTTCTCAATCATGTCTGCCTGGTCCCCTCGCCTCTCTGTCCCTCCTCCAATTTTATGGAAGTTCCTGCCTGTACCCTTGTGTCAAAAAGATTATAGCTTTTTTGTTCTTTTTATTTTCCCCCTGCAGAATGGCTCAGACTTAGCAAAATGAACAGTTAAATGCAACTAAGTCTTGTGCATAAACCTCCCGATTTTTGAAGATCTGATGTATGCGGTACCCTTAGTAACTGAAAGCGAAATGTCTCCCTCCTCTCCCCTAAGATGTGTTTTTTTCACCAGAACAGCTGCCACAGCCCACTCCACAGTGTGGCATTAAGGGGGCAGGAGCTGCCACTTCCCCTGTAGGCTGCTCCCTCCCACCTCCAGTATGGCCCTAAGGCGCTCCCTCCTTCACCGAGCAACACTGTTGCTTCCTGTGGGGGAGCAGGTGGGGGCATCAAACTCATTGTCTTTGAAAAGTAAGAGCTGACTTTACTCAACTGATTTATTCACTGCAATATGTATTTGTTCCACATCGTTTGAGTTCTTACATTGCATCAAATGATGCTAATAAATTAATAGATATTTTCCCTTTTCTTTTTCCCTCCCTTCTCTTTCCTTTCCTTTCCACCTTCCTTCCTTCCTCCCTCTCTTCCTTCCTTCCTTTCATCCATAAGAAGGTATGGATATCCACCTGTCTTGCTCACAGTGACAGATGATGTACAGAGGAGATAAAGGAGACACAGAGTTGAAAGGCACACCTCCCTCTCTGAAGTTTTCAATGTGGTGACTGCTAATAGGGACCTGATAACACGCATGCTGCTGGTATGAACATCAGGGGGCCCAGGAAATACAGGGCAGGGAGCTGTGGGGACCATTTGATAGAGCAGTGCCAGGCATAAATTTGGCCAGACAAGGAGCATTGTTACACAGCCAGGAGAAGTGCATGCCAGGGCTAGGGGACGTAGGGGAACACTGTAAAGGGATTCCAGGCAGAGGAGTGCTGTGACCACGCAGGGCTGGCTTACAGCCTCCAGGACAAGTGTGCTAGTGTGAGCTAGGTTACAGCTTGTGTTTTACTTTTAAGAAATGGGAGCCACTGGTGAATTAGTAGGTCTGAGATGACTAACTCAGGTGATCATTTAAAAGAGGTTTTATTATCCCACTCCTGGGCATATATCCAGAGGGAACTCAAATTCAAAAAGATACATGCACCCCACTGTTCACAGCAGTACTATATACAATAGCCAAGACATGGAAACAACCTAAATTTCCATTGGCAGATGATTGGATAAAGAAGTTGTGGTATATTTATATAATGGAATACTACTTAGCCATAAAAAAGAATAAAATAATGCCATTTGCAGCAACATGAATGGAACTGGAGATCTTCATTCTAAGCGAAGTAAGCCAGAAAGAGAAAGAAAAATACAATATGATATGACTCATATGTGGAATCTTACAAAAAAAAAAGGAAAAATAAAAAAGAAGACATTAATGAACTTATCCACAGAACAGAAAGACTCACAGACATAGTAAATAAACTTCTGGTTACCGGGGTGAAACAGGGTGGGAAGGGATAAATTGGGAGTTGAAGATTTGCAAATGCTAACTACTATATAAAAAATAGATAAAAAATAATTTTTCTGCACAGCACCCACCACCACCGTTGTCACCACCATCTTAATAGGCCAGAAAATCTGCAGAGTAAAAAACATCAGTAACTCCATCCTTACTCTCGTTAAGGATAAAGTCAGCTTTAGTCACCATGTCCTAACCTTGGCTCACAAAGTTTGCTATTATCATTCCACCCAATAATTACACTCTTAATTTTAGGACTTCAAAAGGAATAAAAGGCACAACTTCTTAAATACAATGTAGCTACTTTTCTCTTACTGCAGCTAATGAAACCATAAGCCTTAATTAATGCATTTAACTTTTCATGCCGAATAGCTCATGAAATTTTCATGAGTACTTAAAGCAATTTGTTGACCTTTACTCCAAAGTGAATTAATATCGCTCCTTTACATTTTCATTTGTTTCACCAATTTTTTTTTACTGTCCAAACATAATGAAAAATGAAACCCCATCTCACCAAATTTTTTAAAATACGTAAGTCACTAAGTGTGGAAGGACTTAAAAAAATGTTCATAACTTTTTACCTAGTAACCTACTTTCTGGAAATCTATCCTAAGGGGGGAAAAAACTGACACATAGTGATTTTTTGCCCTAAATGTCTAATAATTTAAAAATCGGAGATAATGTCCAATCATTTGGAAAGAAAGAGAAAAAAAAAAACTTGGAATAAGCTTGGATAGAATCACCAGAAGGAATATTATGTAGTCATCCAAATGGATTTGATGAGATGTCTATGAAGTACTTATTTCAAAAGTGTACTCGGTAGTGACTGCCATTCTTATGAAATAAAAAGTAACTTTTAGTAAAGGTGATATTCAATAATTACACCTTACTGGTTTAAAATATATAAAAGCAGGATAGGAAAGTATCAACATAGAAAAAATGACAACTATGGAAATGTAGAGAAGCACTGTGTGCAAACAAAAACCAAGAACGCATTTTCTCAAATATTAACGAAAGTTCTGATTTTTTTTCTTTATTTCAGAATGCACATAAATCTCTTTCATAACGGGAAAAATATTACTTCATTAAAAACGTAATCCTTAACCCGCATAGCTGGTCCACTGAAAACCATATAGGTGATGTGTGAATTATTGAATAGCTCCTGCATTGCAGGTTACTTTTTAATTAACAAAAAAAATGGCAGGTGTGATGTATTTCATGCACCTTCTCCATGATTCTTTCTATGATGATATTCAGAAATCGTGTATTAAAACAAATTGAGCAAAGTTAGTTTATGCAGTTCGATAAAGAGGAAATTCTGCTCTTCATCAAGCAAGATATTTTGAATTTTACCTACACGAGGTATTACTGTGAAGAAAGAAGAATGTTAGCCCTAGGAAATGTTCCATTTTACGTAGAAATGTTCATTATTAGAAGTTACAATAAAAACTTCATTCTCAAAAGCTTATCCAACTCTTTATCCTGTAATATATATTTCAAGTTTTATCTCAGTGGCCATAATGGTTCATTGACTAGTTTTAACTAGTTTCCAATTTATTATGGCAAGATAAAAGTGCCTGTGGGCAATTGTGGAGAACAAAGACAATAAAAATATGCAGAAGCTACATTTTAGGCCAGCATCATATTAGAGGGGGAGAAAAAGAAACCTTTTATTACTAATTAAAGAAAACACGTGTTTTTATGTGGTTTGAGATATAATTAAAATGAAGCAATGTAAATACTACTCAAGATCCTTAAGCATATGACAATTCTTAAAGGAAGCTTGAAATGTTTGCCAAATATTTCTAACTTGCTTTTCTCATCCTCCTCCCCCACCCCCACTGCCAGCATACTGAGGATAAACGTGTCAAATTCTTCACCCTTAGAACTAACATTTTTCTGGCTAAGGGTATGCATATTGCAATGTCTTCACCCAAAATTCTTCTTTGATTGACTCTTTTTCTTCCTTGGGCTTATCTTAACAGTTTAAACATGGATGCCACTTTAACCTTTACAATCTGTGAAGTGCACGTGGCCTGAGCAAAAGGGAATGGAAACTTCCTTTTTTAAGATGGCATTTCAACAAAAAGCTACTCTTGCAAAGGGCTTGATTTATTGTTGATGAAATAGGTGCCACTCACATGGAGGTCCCCAGTGCCTGTCTCCATCTCACCTTCAAAATTAACCTTCCCATTTTTAATTTTTCAGGTTACCAGAATTAGTATTCACCTCTATTGTTTAAGCTTCTCTTCCATCAAGTGAGGTAAGCACTTGATGTTACATATGTTGCTTTGGTTATTTCTCTGTATATAGCCCTACAAAAAGCTCCCTCTCGAAGAAGACACATGGCTTACCCAAAGACACAAAGAATTAGGGTTACCACTCAGCTCTGTCTGACTAAATAAAAAAAGCTAATATTCTCACCCCTACCCCATTGGAAATACTGGTACTCCCACCCACCCTCATATCTTAGGTTCTGGCGTCTGCATCCCACCATATGCACCTGTAAGCTCATGTAGCTTAGCAAGGATGGAGGGTCTCAGAAAATAATTTGATGAACTGGGAAGCAGAGAGTCATGGAATAGGAAAATGGGGCAACACTAGAGGGGGATATGATGTAGGATGAAAAGACAAATTTCACCTCCATAGGTAATTCAGGATCATGAAGACCTCTTTTTGG